GGAGCTTGGCGCGGCTATGGTGTCGCTAGATTCAGGTCATGAGAGGAAAGGGCTAGAGGTTTTGATGGGTGGGGCGAGGGGATCCAGAACGTGAACAGGTCTCGGAGGGGCCGTAGGCCAGGAGTCATCAAGACTAAAGCCCATTTATGCATTATGGGAAAGAAATAGCGGGGAAAGGAGGACGGACGAAATCAGGCACAAAAGGCTGGTGCGGCAGGAAAATGAACCTTACTTATTTTTTTAAGTAAGCAGAAGATATATTAAGATTTATTTTTTTATGAACCGTAATTTTTTTCTATTTATTGGATTGTCAAGGTTATTTTTTAATCAAAGGGATTCCCAGCCCTAACTTTTATTAAAAGGATTATCAAAGATGTCTGGTCGGTATTAGAGTTTACCATGAAAAATTGTGAAGAATGGGAGGACGGATGAAAAGATGGTAGAAAGAATAGTTGACGCAAGAATCTTTACATTCTTTTTTAAGGAAAAGTAGATATTTCTGCATTTCACAAATCGGGCGAATCAAAGAGGCCCTCAATTTTTTTACTCAGGGAATCCTGAGAAAGTAAGTTGAAAGGGAGAAACAGAGAGGAGAAGCCCATGAGAGATCGTGAGAGGGTGTGTGGCTCCGTGGCCCAGGCCGGTTCTCCGAGAGGCCGAGATTCCGAGACGCGGTGCGGGTGGCGGGCGAAGACAGTCATCCGCAAATGACTGGCTGAGAAGAAGATCATGGACGAGCCGCGGAGCCGGAGCCCTTTCACTCCACACTTTTTACAGCGTACGCACGCACACGCTCACATCTTCTCGGCTCTCTAGCTCACCTGGCCGACTGGCAGCCACGTACACGGAGCCGCCGCCACCTGCCGCGACATGGCCGTCCTTCCTTTCAGGCTGCGGCTGCGGCTGCGCACGGCGGCCATTTCCGGCTTGAGCCCCTCGACTTCTGTCGTCTGTCCTAGCAGACAGCACAGAGACGGCGGCTCCTTCTCCTGCCGTGCCGCGGCGGCAGCCGGGCGGCCGATCATCGTCTCCGGGGACCCGCCCACGTTCGTCTCCGCCCCCGGCCGCCGCATTGTCGCTGGTACGTATATTATCGTCTGTTCGCTTTTTTTTCCGTTCTGAAGAAATAGACAGCTCTGTGTATTCGTTCAACGGCCAAGCGCCGAGCCATTTGTAACTGCATGTTTGTGCTTGCCAGTATCCTGCCTGATCACACATGTGCAATTGTGCATATGTGCTCCATCATCTCCTTGGTTAATTAATTTGGTGCCAGTGGAAAAGAAGAAGAGTAACAGTAATAGAGAGTTAGAGACCAAGTGAAATTGGCCCTTGTGTCTTGAAAATTGATTAACATTGGTTTTTCGATAGTAATATGTGATGTGAACAAGAACTTTGCGTTGCAGTTGGCGACCTCCATGGTGATCTCCACCAAACGAGGGCTGCACTGGTGATGGCCGGTGTCCTGAGCGCGGAATCAGATTGTCATGTGTGGACAGGCGGGCAGACGGTACTTCCACCTTTACACCACATTTGAAGTTTTATTATCCGTTTCTTTTTTTAAGATTTCCATTAATAGGTTCTTGTTAGGGATTGGCTGGATAGCGCTTTCTTGTAGAATAGCATTCGTAACCTACTTGCCAAAATGTAGGGCATCTTAGTATTTTACCTTTTTTTAGTAGATAATGGTCTTGTTGGTGCATTCTGAATCCTGAATTGTGGTGCTTGGTTAGACTAGAATCCTTAAGTTTGTATCTATATTTGATTCTGAATGTTCTACAACCGTTTAACCTTAACTCTAGCCTACTTTTGGTTAATGGTTCTGCATTTTGGGGTTTCCCAAAACTGTAAAAAATCATAGATATAGGGAATGCTCTGAAACTGTAACCCACAGGCACTATGACTTTTGTGTATGCAGGAAAAATGACAATGGATAGAGATTACTTTTGCATTTTTTATGACACAGATAATCAAATTTATTAATGAATCTTTGCAAGTTCTCATTCTATAGCAGTTCTTGCTTTCATTAACACTTTCAAATTTGGCGAAACTTCTGAGGTCCAAAACCACCGTAGTGGATAAGGTTTTGGGGCTTTGTTTGCCTATCAAAGGTTCCAGGAAAAACCTGTTATAGTAATTTCCCATACCAATATGATCGTTCTTATTCCATACAAAAAACGCAAGAGATTACTGAATGTCCCTTTTTTTTTTCACTAGATACAAATATTCATATTTTGGGATGACGTTATGCAGGTTACTGTTTCATTGCATTTTCCTACATACAGGAAACTTCTAATATTTTTGAAAGGCAAGAAATGCAAAACATTATTAAAAATCGGGCAAGGTTTTAAGCGGTTTTGGAAAGCGTATGATCAATATGGACATTTTCGTAGTCAGGCTTCAAGCCAAACCAAGTACTACTTTAGCATACTGTGTCTGTGTTCTCTACTGCTCTCAGGTGGAGTGTGTTTAAAAATTGAACCTTTCAGACAAATGTGTGATGTGCTTGTTTTTATTTTATTTTACAAAATGTGTGTGGTGTGCTGGTGTACAGGTTCTGGTTCAAGTTGGGGATATCCTTGACCGTGGAGAAGATGAAATTGCAATACTGTCCCTGTTGAGTTCACTCAATGTGCAAGCAAAATCTCAAGGCGGTGCTGTGTTTCAGGTTTGACCATTACATCATGTCATTCTAAGTACTCTACAACATTGTAATACTTAAGAGAAAATGTTAGGTAAACGGAAATCATGAAACAATGAATGTGGAAGGCGATTTCCGGTACGTCGATCCAGGATCATTTGATGAGTGTATACGCTTCCTGGAATACTTGGAGGAATTTGATGGCGAGTGGGATGATGCTTTCCTCAACTGGGTTAATGTTTCTCAAAGGTGGAAGGAAGAATATCGGGTGTCGCCTAATGGTGACTGGCTTCCTTTGAACTTTGTCAAGGTAACAAAGCATTGACTGCCAATGAAGAATGACTGAACTTGTTCAATTAACCACGCTCGGATATAAAAAATCATGTCGTAATGAACATTTCCAATTTTAGTACATTGGTAAGTACATCCCAAGTCCACAACAAAATGAAAATAAAAGAAATAACCAGCAGCGTTTCACTAGATGGATAGCCTTCAAAAAATGGGTAATGATTTATTCTCTTCTGCTTCTGAGATATTTCCCTCCAAATGCCGAGACAGAAAAATAAAGGGTTTGCTGCAAGAGCATCACTTTTTAAGCAAGGTGGACCATTAGCTTGCGAATTGGCACGACATCCTGTTGTCCTGAATGTCAATGACTGGATGTTTTGCCATGGTGGTCTTCTTCCCCATCATGGTGAGTCGCTCAAGAGATTGTGTGATTTGAGCTCGGCATTTACAATTCTGCTTCTAATATAAAAAAATCACCTAATATATTCCAGTTGATATCACATATTTCTGTAAGTGTTATCTAAAATTCTAAGTCCATTTCCACTCCATAGTTCAATACGGGATTGAACGCATCAACAAGGAAGTATCGAATTGGATGCAATGTTCAAGTGAAGACAGCGATGATACCGATCTCCCCTTCATAGCTACCAGAGGATATGACAGTGTAGTATGGACTCGTTTGTACTCTCAAGATTCAGTTGAAAGGACACAGCGTTCTTGGGATGTGAGAAGATCCAACCCACTAAACATATGGTTTCATTTTTCACCATGGAAAATGTTTGTTAGTTACAGAACTGTTGTCACATGCTTAACATAATTATCATACAAATATTTTTGTTCGTTTCAGCTATCTTCTATTGTCGCTGAACAAACATTGAAATCTGTTGGAGCTAAAGGAATGGTCGTCGGACACACTCCCCAGACTCGTGGAGTGAACTGGTATACATTGTTCTCAATTGGGTAAAGAAAAGATATCAATATTTTCTCAAATAAGCTATAGATGACTGTCTCTTTGTTCCCAGCAAATGCGATGGTAAAGTTTGGTGTATTGATGTGGGCATGTCTTATGGTGTACTGCATTCGAGACCAGAGGTAAATTTATTCCTTTTGGCCCAATTCATGACATCCCTTGTTTTGTCCTAAGTATTGTGCTCTTCTACAAACATTTAGTGTTTGCTACGTTAGGGTTAATTTGCTAAATCCATAGTGTGGTTAATTGTTGTAGGTCTGCCGCATTATATATGTACTATGTGCAGTAACATCATGGTATTTTTCCAGTTTTAATGAAGAAATGACTTGATTTCTGGAAAATTTAAGCCTGCATGACTAGTAAAATTTAATATGTTGATGCACATAAACATGTTCTCCTTATTGAATGATAAGGATTTAGGACAAAACATTTTTTTGGTGTCTGATGTTCAACTCTAATGGCTAGGTCCTAGAAATAGTCAATGACAGACCAAGAGTTCTAAAGGGCCAGAGGGACTCATACGATGAGATGGAAGTGCTGGACTATTTATGAAAGCTCGAAATTTATGTAAGCACTCTTAAATTCATCTCTCCTCTTAGTCCCCAAAACTGGGTAAATCATTCTTTGAAGAATCTGCAAAAATAAGAGTTTTATTATTTGTTGGGACAATAATTTTGTTACAGGAAACCTACAAATTTCATTTTTATTTATTGCTTGCCATGCCTGAAAAATTCATGAGTGAAATAGGTATGCTATTGCAGGTATATAACAGGCAGCATTTTACTGGGAAAGATATTATACAAGACAGTTTTGGGTGGACACCCGGTTGACTAAATTCTTCAGGACATATATACATCAACAGAGACCAACCGGCTTTCCATAACGGTTAGTGCATTTTCTGTTGACAAAACAGCATACCTCTTTGAATGTATGTGATTCAATCATCTAGCTTCACAAACTTGAAATTACTTTTCATTCTATGCCCCTACTGAAATATAAGGTCTTCCAAAGTAGCTAATTTGAATTCAATGATTGAATCCACCATGTAAAACCTGTGTGTGTAAGTTACAATTAGCAAGAACAACTCCAGAATACATGAAAGTGATCATGCTATATCTTAAAGCAAATGCAGAAAACGGAGTGATATTTAAAGTTTGATGTATTCAGCACCCAAGGTTTGGGTTTTTCTGCACCTTCGTATGCACAGAAGGGGGTGGGGGTAAGGGAGGGTGTGGACGACAAATATCTGAATATTTTCTTTTTCAGTACTTTCCAGGACTGTTCACTCAGTCTTACATCGCAAAGTATCGGCTTGCTCATGAGGAAGGAACATAATAGTAAATCATGAGCAACAACACTGTTATCATCTTCAAGTGTTCATCAAGAAGGCGAAGGACAACCGGACACTCATCCATAGGAATTGGGGTAAAGTTGTGTGTGCCATACTCATGGAGGAGAGCACAGTATGGACATTTCGCTTCTTCTGCTTCGCCAACAACCCGACTGGTCTTCACCTAGAATGTTAATGTCTATGATGCTGATGATGTTAAAGATTTTAGATGTCAAAAGAGTACTGCCACGGTGGCACTTGTATATGTATGCTACGGTGCTATTGTGACATCCATTAATTATGCAATGGTGGTTGAACATTTGTTATGTTTGGGTATGTTTGATTTATATGAATTATGTTGTGGGTCTATGTTCAAACTAAAATTCTGACCAATTTGCTTATTGCATGGATTAAATTATACAAAAATTACGTTCGACAAGATCCAGAAAAACAAACCATGTGCAATGGACAACCATAACACGAACGATTGAACCAAAGTGCGCAATAGACCAAATAACGCACATGTTCTACCATTAAAACATCGTGTGTGATGAATCAGTATAACACATACAATTGTGCAATGCCAACCATATGTGATGCACGACATTGACACACATGTTTTCTTTGTAATGAATCTGTCGGATGGATGTACAATCGCACATGTTCCGTTGAGCCAATTGTATGCGACTGCTCGTGTCACTGCACACAATTCATCCACGGCAAACGTGTGGGACGGCGACCCCAATCGCAAACCCACGCAAC